GATGGATGGATGGATGGATGAACAAGGACCGAACAATAATGTTACATGATAAAAAAACAAGCAACCGTTGCTATGTACAAGGGTTTTCTAGCCATAGGCTAATTTGCAAACCCAGTCCTTGGTTGGACTTTTAAAATAAAAACAACTAAAAATAAAATAAAACCACTCCCCTCTCTCTCTTACTCACTCACTCACCCCCCTCACACAATAGAATGTTGATCATTTCACTGAACTTCTCACCAGAACCGTACGGCATTCTGGGCAATGTGGACAGAAAAAACTTTTAGCCGCTCGGCCCCTCAGGGTCCAGCTTAGTGTCATCAAACTCAGTCTTTGTTCAGTTATCAACCACCTGTTGAGTTACATGAGCAACAGCAGTTTCACATTCATAAATGTCATAACTGCATAAAAATAAAAAACAGGCTTTTAGGTAGGATTTAGAGGAAGCATTCACACAATGGAGCGCATTAGATCCATTGTCCTGATGCGTCTCAGTAATTCAGGTAAAAAGTCAAAAAGAAAAAAATTGTATAGGTCCTCTGGACGGGTTCTTCTCTAATGAAACGTTTTGTCTCTCCTCCGAGACTTCTTCATTAATAGGTGTTAATTAGGTGTCAACGATAGCCATGTGATGTGAGTATCAGTCACATGGAGGCAGGGCTTAAAAGCCTGAATTTTGCCTGAAACTCTCAGACTGAAGAAATCTCTTGGAGGAGAGACGAAACGTTTCATCAGAGAAGAACCCGTCCAGAAGACCTAYACAATTTTTTTCTTTTTGATTTTTTAACTGGATTACTGAGATGCATCAGCACAACTATATGAACATACAGCAGTTAGGTAAAATGTTAATAATTGCTAATTTACAGAGCTGGCACTTCTTTGACAGCATGTTCTGTATTCCAATTGGGCCAAATAAAATACAGCATGTTGCAAAACTCCGCAATCCTTCAGAGACTCCAACTTATGCATTTATAATGCAGGCTGGGCCCAGGGGTCCTGCTTCAGGCTGCCACTGGAAAGAGAGCAAAAGCCACTGTTTTAGAGGAGCAGAAATTACACGAAACTGAGAGCCAAGAACAAGACCGACACTCGGGGAGAGAACGAGCAGATGGGAGCGTCTGTTAAACGGCGAGGATGAGGAGTAACACCATCGCAGAGAACCCTGCTGTCAGGTGTTCCCGCTCACAACATGTGTGCAAACACTTACTGTAAGTGGACAGCAACAGCAGTTGTTGTTTGGAGGAAGTTCTTTAATTCATTGCCTCTCTGTGCTGCTCCACATTTTCCAACACTGTTCAGACTTTCAAACCGTTTTTTTTTCCCCCCCACTTTTGGCTGCAGCAAGAAAGTGTTAATAAAGAAAAAATCACTTTATTTCAGTAGCCTTTCACAAGAAAACAACAGTAATGATCTGGATCAAGTCCAAAATAATCTTTGGATGAGACAGGACGGCTGACGTGTGCAATCTCGTGAGATTTTGCGAGCTGTGTTAACTCCCGGAGTGTTCAGGCTGACTCGAAGCTACCGCAAAACCAGACTTCAGCACAGGATATCTAAAACTGAGCGAGTTCCAAATATTTTCAGTGTTTGCCGAGGCAGATTTGCTGTGTTAACCGTCTTGAATTGAGCTGCCTCCAATAGGTAATCAAATTTCAGTAGATTTCCACCCACTAGTTCATGGGATATTTTGCTAACAGACAGACAATGAACACAGACAGCTACTTTACATGATTGACACCTTTCATGGTAGCAGGCCAATATTTATATTCCTGGGGTCTCTACACACAAACTGTACTGTAAGTCAGCTACATTTGTTGACCCTGATTACTAGAAAATAATCTCAAGTCATGGTTTGTATCCTAAACCTGATCTTATCAATAAGCTGCTGCTGGGATTTAAAAATGATGCGATCAGACCTGCAGATACACACAGATGAGGTATGATAGATAACAGGGTGCCATGTTAGGAGCAAGAAATCAAAATGTGAGGAAAAAAATATTAAGTAAATGTTTTTAATATTCTTTCCCGTGGGGTTCCATGGCTCTCCCAGGTCATGAAAGCAAACAAGGTTGTTGGTGCCTTTGGGGAGTAAAGTCATGATGATAATGGTGGTGCTGGAGGACAGTGGTGATGAGGACGATGAAGACAAAACAGCAGAAATCCCCTCAGGGAGCTACCAATTATGTATCCAGATGCTCTGAACTTTATATTAACCAAACAGCATAATAAGCTATTTGATTCAATGCAAAAACATTAAAAAAGATCAGCTGATCAGTGCATATACTTAATACATTGAATGGGCGTTCATAAACTTAACATGATGCTTGGTTAAATTCTTTTCCTGGKTTGTTTGAAGATGTGATGTGACTCATTCCTTCTCTTGAACTAGATAGGAATAAAAATAATAAAAAAAAACAAATAAATCTGTTTGTACCTTAAAGATGCTCACTGTTCTGTGTTTTAAAGTGAGTCAGTTTCTCAAGATGTATTCAAACAGCCAGGGTTGCATACTGCACTTACTTACTGCAAACCTAAGGAAATTACTCAGTCAACTTGGAGGTGGGGGGAAGTCATGGACCTGCAACCTTTAATCAAAGTCAAGCAGTACGGAGATAATTTACGGTCATTAATCAGGAGGGTACAGTTTTCAGGGTTTCACCACAACACACAGAAAAACAAAGAGTCCAAGGAGAACAATTCAAACAGGCGCTCAAAGCGTTCATGCAAGCAGCATTAAATCTGAGAATAAAGACATTTATTCCAGCCTTTTGTTCAATTCTAGGGTTGTAGCTATCCAGACATAAAAAAATATTCTAATATAAACTCAAGTGTACAAAAACACACAAAACATTCAGCCGTGTCATTATTTATTAAACCAAACCAAAGCCGAAGTGGAAAAGCTGTGTGTGAAAAAAGAAGTATGTCCTATTATTCTGTAGCTAGAACCACATTTAGCAGCAATGGCCTAAAGTGGTTGTTTTCAGTATGACTGCAGATCAGTTCAATTCAGTACAAAACCCGTGGAGACCGAGCATTTCGGGAGGTGGCCCCGAGGCTCTGTAACGCTCTCCTTCTGTCCCTTCACTGCTCAGATTCCACTGACTCTTTTAAGAAACACCTTAAGACTTTTTTATTTAGACTTAGGTTTTGTTTTGTTTTTGATTGTTCTTTCATTTTATTTGTGCATATTTTTTATTGCTTTTATTTATTTACTTTCTGTTACGYCCTTTGTGATGTTCGTGTGTGTGAAAGATGCCATTACATAAATGAAGTTTACGTACTTATTTCATTTATACAGTATAACAGCAATTGACAACAACATTCATCTCAGTGCACTAAAAAAGCCTAAATCCTAATGCCAAAATAAATTCAATTACAATTCATTCCCATTATAATACAATACATTCATATGTTATGAAATGCCTATTATGACTAGATGTTTCTAATAAGTGATAGTATACAAGTAAAATAATAGCAGAACTGGTAACATTTTAATGTAGGGTTTAAATGACATAATCTGATCAAAAATAACACCAAGGTTTGTTAAATTAGAACTGGAGGTAAATTAATACCATCCAGGGGAAGTGAAGTGCCAAATTTGTTCCTAAGATGTTCAGGTTCAACCTCCACAATTTCTGTCTTGTCCGAGTTTAAAAGCAGAAAATTGCGAGTCATCCAGGTTTGAGACATGCTTTTAGACTAATTGATTAGATTGATCAGGCTTTTTGGTTAAATATAACCAAGTATTCATCAGCATAACAGTGCAAATTTATGTTGTGATCTATACTTTTTAACTTAAATAAATCTGTAAAAAATAAAGTTAATTTTTCCAAGTATTGAACCCTGAGGTACTCCATGACCAACTCTGGTGTATAAAGAAGATTTATTGTTGGCATGAACAAACTGAAACCTCTCATTTGTTCCAATAATGCTAATGTCATGTTCGTCTCCCATGTTACTTTGGTGGAATATTGGCCCACTCTTTTTAACAACATTGCTTAACTTCATTGATGTTTGGGAGCAATTTGACACAACTCTCTTTAGGTTTAGGTCTAAACCTCAACAGGCCCATTGTAACATCTTGATTTGTTGTTCCTTTGGTTCTTTTATTGTATAGATTTTCTGCTCTTTATGGGGTCCTTGTGTTGTTGCACAGCCTTTTTCCACAAACCTTTAGCTGTCAGATATACGGCCTCACGTTTAACTCTAAATAAGTTTGATATACAGAGGAAGGCGCCAGGTTCCTGTGGCTGTAAAACAAGTCCAAATCATCACCCCTCCATCAATGTATTTGTACTGTAAATGCAACCAAATAACCCTTTGTCATTTATTGTGTATCATTTTCAGTAAAAGTTCTGTCATGGAATAAAAATAATTAACCAGTTTCTGTGTCTGTTTCCCATTTTCCCCATAATCCAGATACAGGTGTAAGAGACTACTACAAGAGCTACCCGATGATAGATTACACCCACCGCCAGTCTCCTCCAACTTTTCAGCCAATCAACTTTCACCCCAAAGACAAGCCATTCCTCCCGCCGCCCGACATCCATGCACCTCTGGCCATCACCATCAACGCCTCCCAGATCCCAAAGCCCAAGATCTCCAAAACCAACACCCACCCGCTCACTTCCAGCTCAGCCTTCAAAGTGTGGGACCCGAGCAAGAGCCACATCCAGCACCCGACGGCCACACACATGAGCCTCGGGGGGCAGCAGCAGCACCACCTCATCCAGCAGCAGCATCACCACCAGTCACTGCACCAGCCGAACAGCCGGCGCCAGGCCTACTCCAACAAGAGGCAGTTCAGCATCGAAACGCTCCCCGAGCTCTTCTCACAGCCACTGGGCTACAGCCACTCGCCGCACATGCACCCCAAACACAAAGGACTGGCCACCAACAGCAAGACGGAGGTGACGGTGTGAACAGAAATGAACCAAAAAAGAGAGGCAGAGAAAGAGACATACTGGCAGGGTTGAAGGGAAATATTCCGATATCCTTTGTGTCCACAACTATGATGTTGTGAAAGCAAATATCACATTGGGATTTTTTTTTCTTTTGTTGTTGTTGCTCCAATTTTACCTAAAAGAAACACTGATATGTGTAATATTTGTATATCTTTTTAAATCACTGGATCAGGCAGATAAGGCGTGAAGGTGATGGATTAGCAGGTGTTGACTGTGACCCTTTGAACCTGGCAGCTTTTCTAAATAATTGAGTGGGCTCTCAGTGTGTTGGCTCTGCTTTGTCTCCTCTCAACCCTCTCTTGCATCTCTGCTCGGCTCTGCAACGACACTCCGCTGGGTACAAATGGCCGAATCGCACATGTAGCCTCGACGCTCGAGGTTGTGTGAAAAACATGAGTGCGGGGTGGGGAAATGTTTTCTCCAAGACTTTGGCTTCCCCATCTACAGGGATAATACCATTGTGTTGTCAGCTCTCATTGCCCTCCAGCACTTCGAAGAGTGAGATATCAGCCTGGCAATTCGTGGCAGAGAGGAGGGCAGGGGAGTGTGGGAAGTATTCATCTCATTCCAGAGGCAAATGCGATGAGAAGGATCAGAATCAGGCACACACACACACACACACATTTGTGCACACAATACACACTTGTCAAACAGTACAGAATATTCTAGGCGCTGTCAGAGTCTCCAGGCAACTCCTCCACACATCAGCCCTCTGYCCAAGACAAAAAGACACCCAAACTTGTCTTAAAACTCCAATTCTTAAATTAAAGGCCCAACATTTCTTGAAGATCATCTTACGTAGACAAGTTGTAGCCATTTTTGTACGACCTTAAAAATAACATTATTGTAGCACTCATACAATATCATGGGTGCTGAGATTGACACTAGGGCCGCATCTAATTTTAGCTCGGTACGTGTACAAGTAGATGAGTTTTAGCCATTTTTGTGTTGGCTAATGTTTAGTATAAATGCCAATAGTTGTTAAAGTTTCAGCAAATCTGTCGTACAATGAGTAGTGCTCAGAGAATGACTCTCAGGTACAAACACACCATGTTTTAGCACAATGTGCGTAAARCTGGCTGAGTTAATTTTTTTCTGCTGTTTTGTGGTTTTTACGGATAGCTGACTGTTGCAGCCATTTTAAAATGAGTTGATTCGTAAATAAATCAGTTGTAGATGTACACTCACTGATTAGATTCTGCATGTTTCATTAGAAATTACCTAGTGGTTCAAGGGTAATTCTGGTAACAGACACAAGCAAAAACATTATTGTCCACCTTCACCTTTCTTCACCAGGCGAATTCTAAAAATGTAAAAAGTCCGTCACTGTTGTGTACAGTAGGAGCTCATTTCTTGAGCTGCCAYGCACGTTTTCAGCTCAGAAATGTATGAAAATAGGACAGAAAATTCCCASTGATCTCTGGGAAACCTCTGCATTAGCTTCACAAATATGTCAGGAAAAATGTCAGCTGTTTAAAAATGGATCACGTACGTCTTCAGAGTGGCACTACTTTTCATCACTGTTCATTTATTAAGACCTGCTCACTTAATCGAACACTAAATATCAGCAGCATGGATGGTTTCTGAATGCCGGGGAGAGAAAGCACTGATGCATCAAAAAAAAGCCTTTTCCCAGGAAGCTCAAATGCAGCCATTTGCTGCGCTTTTCCAAGTCCTGCTTGCTCTGCAGTTTACCTCCCTCACTCCTAATGAAGTGCCTCAGCACTACAAGTGAATTATTGCTAGCACTTAAACAAAACACTATCATAATTCCTGCCTTATACAGCCAACACATAAAGGGTTTCTGCTGTTTTGAATTCAGTAAACAGACTTTAGATTATAAGCTCTGCTTCCATCCCAGTAGAGCAAAGAAAAGTGAACATTTGCCCCATTTTCATGCCTCACCATTAATTATTTTTTCTGTTTTTTTTTAGTTTTAGTTTTCTTTTTGATTAAAAAAATCCAAAATGCTCAAATTAAAAGTTATTTCATTTTATAATCTTCCCACTGAACCAAGAAATATATTTTATTTGCTGTGCTGTAGATGGACATGCATGACCATTTCATAGTTTATTCAGAACATTTGTCAGGATCTCATGTTCCATCATCTTTCATTTACAGTAAATTTAATGAGCGTGCGTCACATCCTGATGCTTGGCCCTCGGTGTCCTGTTTATAGTCAGAGGATAGCATTAGTGCTGCACTTCAGATTGCAGAGTAGTGATTTAAATCAGCTCTCTCTGGATGAGAACGGTTAATGTGCCTACTTGAATGCTGGAAGGAAGTTACAACTGCAGAGGCTTTACGGTTCGGATCTGTGGACTGAGGAAATCTGCAGCACTTTGCATTGTCTGCTTGAGATTTTCATTGCATCTTTATTATCAAGCAATGTCGTAAAATGCAAGGAATAACCTTGTTTGTTTGTTTAAATTTTTTGTTAATATGGGGTGGGGGTGGGATTATCAATGTATTTTTTGCATTCATTTGCACTAAAAAGCTAATTTTTACACCAAAAACATAAAAATGCATCACTCTCCTATTGAAATGAATCATATTATCAAAAAGGTTTCGCAGTTTACTCTAAACAGGGGGTACCCAGGGTTTCAGAATATAACCCTAGAGCCGGGTTCTGCAACCTGTGGCTCTGGGGCCACATGTGGCTCTTTGGTCCCTCTGCAGTGGCTCTTTGAAAATGTGACCAAATATAACAGAATAATTTTTTGTTGTTGTTTTTCTACCCACAACAGAAATCAATTTGTATGCAAATATGTGAGCAATACTATGAATATAAAATGTAAAACATGTTAGCTCATGTTTGCCTGTTGTTTACATAAATATTTCAATTTTTTCTATGATCTTTCTCTCAAATCCATCAGAATTACCTTTGAATAATTTGAAGACTACATAATAATAAGAATTAGAAAAACAAATACCTGAATAAATTGGTTCCACTAGATTTCATGAAATTCAGCATAAACTATATATGGTATTTTTCTTCTTCATATGAAAATGTTCTTTTTATTGTCCTGATATGTACCTCCAATGACCGTGAAGGTTTTCGAATAGGCCTCGAAAACGTCCATGGACCACCAGTTGATAATCACATTTGTAGCTTGTTTTGCGGCTCCRGACACATTTTATTAGTGAGACAAGGAGAACAAATGGCTCTTTTGATCAYAAGGTTGCAGACCMCTGCCCTAGAGTGTTCTGAGCCAAAGTATGAAAAGTACACTAAACAAGGTAGTGTGACCCCAAAAAGTACACATGGTCAAATTGTGGTGCAAGGCCCAGAAGCAGCCCATGGACCATCTTCATCTGGTCCTTGATGTCTTAAAAAATAGGCAAAAATATCTTTAAAAAATATTTATTTTCATTTATTTTTCTTTTTATTGCAAAGATGCAAAGACAGAATGAGTGTTTTGAATAATTATTTTGAAATATGCTTTGACATTTTGCCCATCCCTTCTGTAATGTTGATGTTCATGGGAAATACAAAAGTTGAATTATACTAAAGGTTCCCATTTTTCTTTTAAAGTAACTTTTGAGATTTTATGTAACTTTTCTAGCACTTTTCGTTTTTGCTTTACAATTCCTGAGTTTTTGTCAAAACTCCTTTTGTTCCAGCAGCCAATCTGTCTCACTGATTGAATTCACCTTCGTTTGTTATCGTAGGACACCACATCTGCTACAGTGCATATGGATGGCACATGCTATAGCCCATCAGGAACCTCATCAAACGACACCACTTAACCAGAATCCATCTTTTTTTTGTTGTTTCCTCTCTTCTCTTCGTCATTCTGTTTGCCTCCTCTCTATCTCACAGTCGTTTTTTTTTTTTTCTTGATAAGAAAAGCAGAGCTTGCTTGGTGTTTGGTAGTCAGTGTTTTAAGCTGTTTCAAACAAGGAGACTCCCACTGGTCCTCCTAGTGTGTGAGAAAGTGAGTCCTGGGRATCGGTTATAACAAACGACAGTGTCAGGGAAAGTATTGCAGGCTCCAGATACACTCCCTGGTGCTCAGTCACACTTCCACACAAGCATGATTAGATTCCCAAATGTAACATCGACAACCAGACACTCTGCAGCACACTTTTATACCTGGAAAYATGAAATCTTATTTTACAATGCAACACAATCTTAAAATTATAGCTCACGTGTTTTAACATGTAGTTCTGTGGAAAGGTTYCTGAACAATTATTAACCTAACAGAACCACAAGATAGCAATAGCGCTACCTTGTGGTTATGTTAGAAGTGCATTATTAAGTGCCTATTAAAAAAAGACAAAAAACAGCCTCTTTAAATGATAGCAACTTTATAGCAATTTTATACCTTTTATTCAAAAATCATTATCCGTCTKATTTAGCAATGTGGTTTTTATTGTAAATACAACACTTGTGGCTTTTTTTTTTTCAGAAGAAAAAAATGTTGGGTTTACATTACCTGTTCATCTCCGACAACATGGCAGATAGCAAGTTACATTAGCGTATCTTTATGAGCAGTATTAAGGTTACTTTTGTACAAATTGCTATATATATTATTGCTATATTGCTTTAAAACTTTAGCTGTTTTTAAACAACAGCAATCTACTTCGATTTTGRCCCCACTCAGACTAGCCCTTAGCTCATCACCCCAGTCAATTTGTTGTTATTTTACCGAAGGAGTCAGAACCTAGATCTGGAAATGACCTGTGCAAGTTGGAAAATCAGAAAAATTAGCTTATTGTTCTCAGTTAACTACAGTTASCATAGATTTCTTCATGTTTAAGGACTGTAATGTCATGTTCACCAAGTGTGGTCCATAATAAAAAAGAAAAAGTGATGATAATAAAGTTTTTTTACTGCAGCAATCAACCTTTTATATGTGAGGCAGCCRTATTGGATTTTGAGGTTAGAACTGGTCAGTAATCTCCAATTTTCAAAGTCAGAATTCTGACTTTACAATGTAGTCAAGTAGATTTCTTTTGATATTCAACTTCAAATGGAACTCTGCCCTAAACTGTTTCTCCAAACTGAGGACATTCAAAGAGCAATCCATGACAAGATAGATATTTATTGCTCATACGCTTTCCACGGAACCCCACTTCAAAGGATCCAAACCATCTCTTTATATATAAAGCAGCTGTAAAAGTGGTTTAATAAATATTAATTTACAGATTTTTATTGGCAACCCGAAAATCCAGTCATCAAACGCCCCAGTTCTCATCTAAATTTAATGGAGATGCAAATGAGCGTCAGCAGATAAAATGTGCATTGAAGTAAAACTTTAACCAGAGAGAATAAATTAGTGGTATAATGCTTGCTTGTAATGCTGCAGTGGCTTCTCCACTTCACCTCTCCAAGATGTAAAAAAAACCTGTTAGGCAAGCTGCTGGAGTGGCGCTCTGGGCTGCTGGCATGCTTTTGTAATAAAGGATCAGCTGAGGATGGGGGATCATGAATACAAAAGCACCAATGGGATATGCATGGTGTGAATATGCATCAAACACATCTGTGCTCTCTCTCTCTCTCCTGAGCTGCGTGGTATTTAAGTTCTTTTCTGTAGCATCCTCGTTTCTTAAGACTTTTATTCCCATGAGGTACAAGCCCTTTAGTGGGTCACTTTATTTGAAAATCTTCTAACAAAAAAAAGGCAAACTATTCTGTGGGGTTGCTTCTTAATCACCCTTGATGTGTTAGAAAGGTCTGAACAAAYGTAGCAAGTAAACAAGCAATACAGACCGGTAAAGCAATAAGTCCTGTGTGTCCATCCGGGCCCTTCCTCTGAGTCTAGAGGTGGCTGCCGATGAGTGTGTGGGTGGTGAAAGAGCCGAGCAGAAGAGGAGACACAACAGAGGGTTTGAGAGCGGATGGAGATGAGTGTACAAGACGATTTGTCTTGCATGGACACAGCAGATATCACAACGGTTGTTTTTCATTCCGGTTTTTGTCTGTGCCAAATAATAAAAAAAAACTTCCTCCTGTGCTTTATCTCTTTGATGTATTCGAACAGCCGGCTTTCATAAAGGATTCTGTGGCTGGAGCTGGAAACGGAAGTCGGGTCTTTACCAGTCTGAACAATTTCACAGCAGGACCGGGACTCGTTTGACCTCAAAGGGTGCAATCTAAGAACTGACAAACAACGATCAACAACAGCAGCACTGGCTTCAGGATTAGGAAGCCTAAAATAAATTAAAAAAAAGTCCTCC